ATATATATATATATATATATATGTATACTATGCGCCAGTTTTTATCTGAATAAAATGGATAAGGCTGGACATTTGAAACAGTATAGAGAAAATTGCAATATGCAATATGCAGATAGTCGCGTGGCAGAAATCTGCAGTTGAATAACGGAAAGTGTTTATGCGTTATCTGGGCCAAGCGTTCACGTCGTTAACATTTAATCCACGCGAGTTGCGATGTGACACATTTACGATGCTGTTCGTCCGCGCGGCGTCAGGTGACGAGACTTCGTGAGAAATAAATGCGAATATTTTACCGCGAGTGTTTCTATTTCCATGACGAAACGCAAAACAAACCGGGAATACGTTTCCCTAATCCTCTCTCATTTCATTTCTTCGCGATGAAGAAATAAGACCGAAAGAATATCAACGACCGATAAAGATCGGCAATGCTATCGCTTATAATCCAACCGAGAGGAATAACATCCACTTCTTTTTTCAAAAAAGAGATAACAGTCGAGATATTAAGGAGAAATCAGAAAAATTAATATCTCGATTCACTCGATGAACAAATTTGTCGCGCTTTAATTTCTACGATCATCGCCCGTTCTGTCATTACAAATAAACGCCTGCGAGGAGGAGGATTGTTTTCCATTTGTCGCCGGGACGCGAGTCCCGATCAAGCGATCTGATTTACGACGGAATACTTCGCAGTTGGGATCCCGGATTCTCCCGGGCGCGCCATGCCGACGTTCGTGTTTCGCGCGTGACACTCGCAATCTATCGAGCGCGTCGACCGCCGCCATCGCGCCGACTTCAGGCAGTCGCCAGTCGTCTGCCGTGGTGTGCCGTTGGTCGTGTGTCGTGTGTGGAGGATTTCGACGAGGTTGAAAGTCCTGGTGGGAGCACGCGAGAGAACCGCGCGCGAGAATCGCGAACACACCCTCGTAGGCGCCCCTCGCGCGTAGGACCCGAGGAGGGTGGTGAAGGAACCCCCGAATCCCCGCGATCGTTTCGCGCCGCGAATCGCCAGCTGCGTCTCGCGGAGGTTGCATCCAGAGGATCTGACAGCGAGGGACGGACAGGCGCAGCCGAAGATGTGCGGCGGCTTTACGTGCTCGAAAAATGCGCTGACAGCCCTCAACATCCTCTACATCGTGAGTAGACACCCTCCGAGACACTCGCGACTCATCCTCCCTCGATTCGTGTCTCCGAGTGCGCCTTTCCATCCGGAGGACGGTCCCTTATCAATCTGCGCTTCCCTCTCTCGCTCACATTTTCGTCTGAGATCGGGTGTCTCGCTCCGTCTCGCTCCGTCGCGATGTTTACGGCAGGGAAGTATTCGTGCGTTGCATAATTATGCTAGTCAATATCGTGTACACTGGCTGATAAAGAATGCCTCTCCGTTTCCTTCTCTCTTTCTTCTACGTGTTTTTTTTTCCCTGTGATGTAGATATATACACACGTATCTTACACACGTAAGATTGATCTAATCGTGTTAGCACTCGTTGACGTTTTCTGTCACCTCAACGGATAATTGCATTATGAGTGATCGCGAACCTTGCTGCGTGATAAGCGCAAGATCCCTCTCATCGAACTTTAACTTTTATAAACGTGATGCGTATACGAAAAAGATTAATCACCACAAGTGAGAGATGCTGTAACAACTGTACTTGAATTATTCGCAAGTCTGATGTGTCAGCTTGGGATTATCTGATGCTTATCTTAAACAGACGGTTAATTTTTTTATGCTTAGTACATCTGGTAGATATTTTATCAATGATTACTTTTTCTTGCAGGTCGTTGCCTTTATATTAATAGGAGTTGCTGTATATGGAAGGGCATCCGCCTTAGTTACAAATCTTCCCATTATAGGTGGCATTTTAGCATGCGGAGTAATCCTGTTTCTAATTTCTATATTGGGCCTGATTGGTGCTGTTAAACATCATCAGGTTCTGTTGTTCTTTGTATCCTTTCCTTAGCGGTAGCAGTTTTGACATTAGATTTGTGAAATAGGAATTGATTCTACTTGGTTTATCTTTGTAAGCATATTAATGTTATAAATCTAATATCTATGAAGAAAATTTTTGTTTAGCTTATTCTTTTCTGTTGGTGATTATATTTATGTGTCGTCATCAATAATATTTAATATGTGTTGTATTCTCTATTGTTTTTTGTATCAAAATTTTAAATCTTATATCTGTGAAGAGATCATTTGTTTGCTTATCTTTTCTCTTGGATAAAAATCTTAGTATATTTATTTCATCAATGTTATATTTATCGTTATGTTTTTGTTTTTTACACTTTTATACATCTCAATATTAATATAAAATATTTTATTGTGAAAGAAATGAGCATTTCCTTAATGCATTTCATAGTACATGCTTATTTTATTCCTTCTGTTCCTGATTCAATTCAGCATCGCCTGCGCTTGTCTTGCTGTCAATACTAAACAGCAAGAACAACTTGCAGAACAGGTAATTGTTTTATTTAAAAGATAATTATTTATTATGGGATGAATGAGACTTAATAATTTTATCTAGGGTTGGAGACGTGTTGGACCTGACTTACGGGAAAAAGTTCAGACAACTTTTAATTGTTGTGGATTTAATAACACTACCGATGAATCCGCTCTATCCTGCAATGATGTTAATGTAAGTTTCAATAAAGTCGGCATCCGTGTGATAATTATCAAATAATTGCGATCTTTTTACAGAAGGTTTGTTGCCAGTCAATCGATCAAATGTCTTGTCCACCTTGTCCAACATGTATGCATAAACTGCAATCTACTATTGATTACGCGTTTAAATTATGCGGCAGTATAGGATTATTCTTTAGTTTTACAGAGGTAAGATTCCATAAATGACATTTTACATTTACACACATATCGCACAATTGTACAGAATGTAATATTAAATATTATACTAAATTTTATATATATATATATATATATATATATATATATATATATATATATATATATATATAGAGAGAGAGAGATATAGTATATATATATATATATATATATATATATATATATATATATATATATATATATATATATAAATATATAAAAAAAAAAAAAAAAAAAGGAGAGAGAGAGAGAATTTATTCAATATTTAAGATTTTCATCTAACTATAAGTGCAGTATTCATGTCATAGTCATTGATTACAACAAGGGTACCTTCATTTTGTTGAAATGCTAACATGTGTGCCCAATTACAGTTTGTTGGTGTGTGGTTGACCGTGAGATACCGGAACCAGAAAGATCCACGAGCTAATCCTAGTGCTTTTCTCTAGTCTAACACCATCGCCATGTCCTCTGTCACTTCATACGATCCTCCTAACAGATGGTGGGTGGCTTCATATGTCGGTTGTGGTCTTTTAATCTTTTTTTCCAGCATTGTAGCATTATCAGTTCAAATATTCATATGCTATAAATATTCATTCGTAATGTTCTAGAAACATATAAATTACGCATAATATATGGCATATAGCAATTTATATAAATAAAATTTTTTTGGGGGATTTTTCTGAGCCTTATAAATTTAAACATTTTCAGGTGATTGCAGCTTTCTTGGCAAGGCGTTATCGTAATCAATTAGATCCAGAGGAAAAAGCTGCAAGAGCCATTTTTCCGCAGAATAATTATTTATATTGAGTCACCGAAATATTTGAAAAACAAATGAATAATTTTTCCTTTTATTCATGTTATACGTATTTCATGATACTCTTATCAATATGAAGAGGACAGATATCTGAAATTAATTTTACTTTTGATTGCTCGGATATGTATCATATTTTTTAAGGGCTATGATTTAAAGCGTATTTCTTTTAATGCTGAAAGATTACTCATTTGTGCTCACAGCAAAGGCAAGAGTTAATACATTTTCCAACTGGGCAATCATAGATTTTAGAATGAGTTAGACAAATAATTGAAATGTGTGCTCTAGTCATATACTTAGAACACTCATAACAAGCCTCAATGCGCCTTGTAGTCTAGTGACAGAAAAGATCACGTAAGTATTTCTATTAAATTTTGTTGCATTATTTCTTTTTATAAAAAAAACCTGGTGACGATGAAAATTTAACACTATCTTAATTTTACTATTTTAGTTCCACAATTTGAATAAATCTTAGATATTTAAAAACTATTCTAAAACATATGGAATAATATAAAAAATATTAAAAAGAAATATGCAAATTACTTTTTTTTAATATTTTTTCATAAATGTAATTTATCATGGTAAAAATATGAATAACATCCATAATCTTATTCAATCATATTTTTCTCCCATATATAAAAGAATAATATCATATTATATATAT